ATATATCCCTCTACTTTCATAAATTGTTTAATTATATCCTCCGTTATACTATCCACCTCTCAGCGCCCTTACTGTTACACTTTGGGGCCAGATATACCCTTATTTTGCTTATTTTAGACGGAGTGCCACGTGTCACTACCAGATTAAATTGACCCATCCCCTTTTTCCTAACCCGGTTCACTCAAAAAATCCACTACCCGACCCAAAGTCCACCCTCACAGCTTCTCTCTCTCACCTCTTTTCCTCCTCTCTTCTCCCTCGCCTCACTGTGATTTCTTCTGAAACCCATCAATTCAATGCTTAAAATAGTTAATACAAACTGTAACATTGTTCTACTATCGTCTCTCTCCGGTGACAAATCTTTGCAAGTCTATTGTCCTACTATTAATTAGAAATAATGCTAAGCATGGACATAAAACCAGTATGTATAACCCTATTTTTCCTGGACATATCACATTGGGAACATCGTTCCAATGCTTAGGCTAAACCAAAATTTTCAAACACAGTACTTATTCCCGCTCTCTAATTGCAAAATCAAGATTCAAGCTCTCTTAATATCTAACAGTGGAGACTATTTCGAATTCAAATTTCAATAAGCAGCTAAATGACTCAAGCTCTCAGTCTGCTCCCTAAGCCTTCGAATAGTGCTCCTTACGGTAACATTGCTAGCAATGTTCAATGTGTAACCACCACCAGCTTTCACTTGGCTGCAGTCTTTGCAACCTCAAACATCAACAACTTTCCTCTTGACGGATTTGATAAAGAAAAGGAAAACATGAGAAAAGAGAGCAATGACTCGCCAGAAAAATGTATTTCCGGTCAGATCCAGTAAAATTTGGAGCCGAAACTTTCAGATCTCCGGTCTCTTGTATGTATTTCTCCAGATCTCTGTGTAAATGTGTTTGTAGGTATAGAGAAAGGGGAAGAAAAAGTGCGAGGTGACAAATCTAAAGGTTCTCCATGGTTTCTGGTGAGTTCGCTGGTGGACATTCCGCCATGGTTACAACAGTGAGAAGAGAGGAGGAAAAGAGGTGAGAGGGAGAAGCAATGGGGTGGACTTTGGGCCGGGTAATGTGTTTTTTTTAAGTGAATCGGGTTAGAAAAAAGAAAGGGATGGGTCAATTAATCTGGTAGTGACACGTGGCACTCCATCTAAAATAAGGGTATATCTGGCCCCAAAGTGTAACCATAGGGGCTCTGAGAGGTGGATAGTATAACGGAGGGTATAATTAAACAATTTATGAAAGTAGAGAGATATATTTGACACTTTTCCGTTTTATTAATGATGGAGAATTTCCGTATACAAGTCGTACACAAATAATAGAGAACCGACACACTCCATCTTCTATTATAGGAAATTCTTGGGTGCAGCGAAAAGATACTAGCGTTCAGACGATCTCCTGTTCCTCTCTTTCCTACATGAGGGCTAATGGAACAACATCCCATGCCTTCAGTCTTCTTTTCCTCCTTCTAAAAGCTCCATTGTGTAATGCCTCCTTCACTGTTCCCGTCATCACCCGCTGTACTTCAAACCAATCTAGAACCACCCACCAGAAATGTGCAGCCACCTGACAATTTAACGGAAGATGGTCTACGTCTTCACCCAAATATATGCGCATGGTACACCAATTGATATAAGTGATCCCTATCTCTCAGGTTTTCTGCTGTTAGTATCACTCCCCCTTGCTGCGAACCACGTGAAGAGACAAACCTTCATAGACGCCCTTGGGACCCGAATTGACAGGTGTGGGAAGCTCGACTTCTCTCTCACTAACTTTGGTAGTCAGACTTAACTATGAATAGACAATCCCTGCTCCCCCCCCCACACACACACACCCCACTAATCTGATATTGCTTCTGGTGCATGCTGCCTGCACAGTAGCTCGACCAGGTTTTGAAATTCCCCTATCTCTCAATCTTGAAGGTTGCTTCTAAATCTCATCCCAATGAACTCCCCCTCTCCCACCCAAGTGTCATACAAATTTGTTGGACTGTCAACTCTATATGGCACAAAACTAAATGTTGTGAAAGGCAAGCCTCAACTCGCCCTCTCCAATTTCTATTCTATTTAATGAGATGGCCTGTTTGAAGGTAGCATGTATTCAGTGGATTAATCTAGGTGTCTTGCAAGTTGGCCTAGATACTACTGACATCAATACGGAAATAAAAGACAAGGTGTGTGTGTGTGTGTGTATATATATATGCTAGTACGGACCCCTTATAAGCCAGAATTGATGTAGCTAAGAGTGCTGGTGTTTTTATTGAAGAATTACCCAACAAAATTGATTGAGTTTTTATGTATCTGTTTTAACTCATTGAGGTTGAACTAGCAATCATTGGTTTTGTCTGGTGTTCTTTATTAAGAAAAAAGTGATATTGGTATGAACTGAATTAGGAACCATTACTTGGGTATGAAATGCCTCTTTTCTCATGTGTCTCTTATGAAGCAGACACATAGTACTGTAGTTTAAGATCTGTCTTAGGTAATTCTAAGGAAGGTTTTATGTTCTCTCATGCGGGCAGCTTTTTGTCTGTTCATCCTTGTTTTCTTTATGCAGTTCTTCTTTGGAGATTAAGACTTAGTTGTTGTTATACTTGCGTTAGGTTTGTCGTCAAAAGCCTCTCTATCCTATTTAGAGACATATATGTCCATGTAAGAGTAATTGTGCAATCTAGAGAACCTTTAGATAACCCTTAATTTGTCCTAAAAGACAGGTTGTCTTGTATTGAAAAGAAATAGGCCTGATGGAGACATGGAGTGTAATAGATACAGAGGATTCATATTTGGGATTTAGAAGTAGTTGATTGATTGATAGTATATATTGCATGCATGATTTGTAGAGTGATAATGTTGAGAAGATAACATTTATAGAAATTCGTTGGCAACTTACTGATTGGGAAAAGAATAAAGAAGTGAGGACTCTCCTTATTATTCGTCTTTATTTTCTTCCTGGCCTTCTAACCTACAAATTTAATAGTATTTGCTTTTTGTTAAAGGACATATTAAGTTTCTTCGTATTTGGTGCCTGTAGAGTTGGAAAACAGGTTACTAGCTCGATTTGATGCGGCTTCACAGAAGCGGGAGTTGTCTACAATGCGGGAATGTGCAAAAATTCTGTCGCAGGTAAACCAAGTAAATCACGTAGACCTATAGTTTGTTCCTCTGGTTAAAGCTCCATATGTAAAGTTCTATGGAAAAAATAGGATAAGTTGAGTTGATCATAATCTAGAAAAAGAGCTTGGAGCTTTACAAAGTGGTTATTAAGTTTTTCATTCTTGATCCCCGTTGGTTGCTTCTCTTTTGAACCATCTGATGTTTCCATTGTGTACTTAGAGTCAAATATCATATTCTAGGTTATTTACATTTCAGAAAAAAATTCAGCTTTTGACGTGTTACTTTTGGATAGCAGTTTAATAGGGGTACCAGTGCTATGCAACACTATGTGGGATTATGTCCAATGTTCGATGTGGAGGTCATGAATGCAGATGCTGAATTGGTTCTTGGAGATCAGGGTGCCCAGCCCAGCCCTAGCAATGTCGCGCGTGGTCTTTCTTCAATTTTTAAAGAGATTACAGGTTATCAATGACAAATTGATCTGAAAATCAAACAGTGGTTCTCTTTTTAGTACATGCCTCCTGACGCCTTGGATTTACTTTCAGAGACTGTGCGGAAAGAAGCAGCCACTATTGCAGCCGTTTTTCCTTCCCCAAACGATGTAATGTCAATACTGGTTCAGGTATGGGTGGGTTACTACTGGCGTTGTGCTTGAGGTAGATTAGTTCTAGAATTATCTTCCTCTGGTGCGATGATGTTTCCAGTATATCAGAGTGATTTTGCTAATTCTTGACTTGTT